GGGACTTCACCATGTTGGCCAGGCTGGTCTCGAACTCCTGATCTCAGGTGATCCATCTGCCTCGGCCTCCCAAAGTGCTGGGATTATAGGCATGAGCCACCACACCCAGCCTGCAGTGTCCTTTTCACCCCGTTCATGGGCAAGGCCAGGACATTTGGGTGCTTGAGGGAAGGTGCTAGAATCTCTTGGTGTCTTCACCATACATGAAACGCTGGCCTAATCCCCGGCTTTTTTTTTTTTTTTTTTGAGACGGAGTCTTGCTGTGTCACTCAGGCTGGAGTGCAGTGGCATGATCTCAGCTCACTGCAACCTCCGCTTCCTGGGTTCACGCCATTCTCCTGCCTCGGCCTCCCGAGTAGCTGGGACTATAGGCGCCCACCACCATGCCCACCTAATTTTCTGTATTTTTAGTAGAGACGGGGTTTCACCATGTTGGTCAGGCTGGTCTCGATCTCCTGACCTCATGATCCACCCGCCTCGGCCTCCCAAAGTGCTGGGATTACAGGCGTGAGCCACCACGCCCAGCCATCTCCAGCTTCTTTTAATGCCATCTTACCTCCTCAGCCTTCTCAAACCAAAGTCAACGTCTTCTCATTTTGGTGTTGTCCTCGTTTGCAGAATAACTAATGACATTTAAAATCAAACAGTGATCTGCCTTCCCTAGAAAACCCAGCCCCCACCTAGAGAACACCCTCCCCACACGTCTCGGGCCCCTCTGGTACCTGTGGTCTGATCCACGAGGACTCGTGAGTTGATGATCCGCCCAAACCGAGAGAACATGTCCTCTACGTCCTTCTGGGTCATGGTCCGAGGGAGCCCGCTGATGTACAAGTTGGCATCTTTGATGACCTCTGAGCTCGGGCGAGCATACGACACCTTGAGAACACAACCACTTTCTGAGATTAGGACAGGTACGTGGCCAAAGCATTGAGGAAGGTGCTAAATTCTAGGTTAGGAAAAGCCAACACTGTGTGGTAAGAATTCATGCAAGGAACGATTATCATCACTGACACTCACCACCTGCAGCCGCATGGTGGCAAGCTCACTGCGCGATGGGCCATGAGCCGGGGTGCCTGGCAGCGCTTCCTCACTAGGTGCTCACCATCCTCAAGGAGGCAAGTGTGACTCCTATGTCACAAAGCCCAGCAACTGAGGGCCTGACGCTTGTGGGTGGCTACCTCTCTGATGTGCTGGACAATGAGCCAGTGCCAGAGATAGGTCCTGGTGCCCGAAAGAAGTCCGTGCTGCAGCGGGCAAGCAAGCTGGGAGCTACTGGGAGCGCACGAGACTCCACGAGACGCCCCTGCCAAAGAGCAAGCTTGCCACGGAAGCCCTGATGGAGGACCCTGAGTTTGTACTCAAATCCACTCAAGCATTCAATATTAAATGACTCAATACCTTTTGGATTTTTATTTTGCAAAATCAAAGAAAACTGAAGAGAACCTTCTGGGTACTTTGTCAAAATGGTACATTCATCATTCGTGTGGAGAGGGCAGTGCGGGGAGCCCGCAGGCCGATGCAAGACAAGGCCTTCAGTGCTTTCTCAGGTTGGCGCTGACAGCTGTGCAGACCCCACGGGCCCAGAAGGAGAAAAAGGACCATGGCGGGGCCGGGCGCGGTGGCTCACGCTGTAATCCCAGCACTTTGGGAGGCCGAGGCGGGCAGATCACAAGGTCAGGAGACTGAGACCACGGTGAAACCCCATCTCTACTAAAAATACAAAAAAAATTTAGCTGGGCGCGGTGGCGGGCGCCTGTAGTCCCAGCTACTTGGGGAGGCTGAGGCAGGAGAGTGGTGTGAACCTGGGAGGCGGAGCTTGCAGTGAGTCGAGATCGCACCACTGCACTCCAGCCAGCGGGACAGAGTGAGACTCCGTCTCAAAAAAAAAAAAAAAGGACCGCAGCAGAACCCCTCTGCCTGTGAAGGGGCAGCCTGGCAGGACTCACAGCCTCATCAGCAGGCTGGGATATGGAGGAGTGAGCAGGAGAGGAGGGAGCAGGAGCAGAGGGAGCAGGAGCGGAGGGAGCAGGAGAGGAGGGAGCAGGAACAGAGGGAGCAGGAGCTGTGTGCCCAGGAAGGGTGGGGACTTGAACCTGTGCAAAAGGAAGTTCGTTCCCTTTGAGGGAGGGGCACAGAACTGATGAGCCAAGGTAACTGAGACCAGAACGCAGGGAGAAACCGCCACTCAGGAGTCACTGGGCAGAATCTGTGTGCCGAGAACACACACACAGCATCCTCTGAGAAGCTCCTATCATGTCCCAGAGAAGGAACGACAGACATTGCCCCTGCTCACAGGGCAGCGGGCAGCCCAGCAGGGGAACAGGAGAGCCCCATGAGGAGAGGAGTGTGGGGCTGGAGGCCAGCTCCACCCGGTAGCGGTGGGAATCGAGGGAGCATGTCACTACGGGGCCCAAGAGGTCTCTGGGGAAGCCGTGCTGCTCCCAGGCCCGGGGCACCTCCATCAGCCTGTGGGCAGGAGCTCTGGGGACACTTGGCCACCCCACAATGTGGGTCAGGGGCTGCCAGTGCTGTCCCCAGAGAAAAAGAGGCTGCCTGGGCCCCCAGCCTCCCCTACAGTGTCCGGGCCTGCCCTGGCTTGCTGCAGACCCGTCTGGACTGGGGCAGTATTTGGGGACCTGCCAAACAGTGACCCTGGTGCCGGTGGAGCAGAGCTGAGGCTGTCACTGACTGGACCTACTGCCGTCCCTGGATGAAGCCCCAGAGGAGAAGCGCCCTAGAGCCAAGTGCTGGGGAAAGCTCTGATGCCTCCCAAGGACAGGTGTCTCCAAGGACCATGGGAACTCCACTTTCCTCTTCTCTCTGGACATGGTCACATTCAGTCAGGTTAGAATCAGAGCAGCTGGTGCAGAGCAGGCGTGCACTGACCTGGGGATCCCCGGCCCCTCGGCCAGAATCCTCTTTCCTAAGCTCCCAACATTGCTTGCTCTTTGGCCTCAATCGGGTCTTTTTCTGGCTGCCAATGCTCAATAATTCATCCAGTGAGGGGTTCAATCGTGTTCCCCCCACCCCACAATCCAAATTCATAGCCGAAGTCCTAACCCTTTGGGACCTCAAAACGTGACCTGATTTGGATACAGTCATTGGGGGTATAATCAGTTAAGATGAGGTCACACTGGTATAGGGTGATCTCTAATCAAATGTGACTGATGTCCTTATAAAAAAGGGAAATTTAGGCCAGGCATGGTGGCACAGGCCAGTAATCCCACTGTTTTGGTAGGCTGAGGTGGGAGGATGGCTTGAACACAGAAGTTCAAGACCAACCCAGGCAACATGGCAAGAACCCATCTCTACCAAAAATAAAATTAGTTGGTCGTGGTGGCACACACCTCTAGTCCCAGCTACGCAGGAGGCTAAGGTGGGAGGATCGCCTTAGTGCAGGAGTTTGAGGCTGCAGTGAGCCATGATCACACCACTGCAGTCCAGCCTGGGTGACTGAGTGAGGCCCTTTAAAAAAAAAAAAAAAAAGCTTTTTTTTTTTTGAAAAAATAAATTCAATTTAGAAAGGCAGGAAATGTGGATACAGGCACTCACACAGGGAGAAGGCTGTGTGAAGATAGACGCAGAGACTGGGGTGATGCTTCTCTAAGCCAAGGAACGCCAGAGACCGCCAGCTTCCACCAGAAGCTGTGAGAGAGGCCTCTTGGACAGATCCCTACCCAGTGCCTTCGAGAGAAACCAACCCTGCTGACACCGTGGTCTTGGGCTTCCAGTCTCCAGAACCCTGAGTCAATACTCTTCTTCTGTTGAAGCAACCTGGCCTGTGGGGCTTTGTCATGGCAGCTGAGCAAACTCCTGACCACTCAGCTTGCCACAGATCCCTCCACTGGCATCAATGCCCAGTTCCTCCTCTCCCTATTTACTTCTTGACTGCGTTGATCATGACCTGACACGCTACATATTTTATTTACTTTTTTAGCTTTTTTTGTAGAGACAGGGTCTCACTATGTTGCTCAGGTTAGACTTGAACTCCTGGGCTCAAGTGATCCTCCTGCCCCAGCCTCCCAAATGGCTTGGATTACAGGCATGTGCCACCCTGCCTGGCATCTACTTTATTTATTTAACTTTTAACTTTGCAAACAGACTCTGTGAGGGCCAGACTTGTGTGTTTCCTGCCACATCCAAAGCACTCAGAGCAGCCTCTGGTGAACGGTAAGCATCTGGGGACTGCTGCTGTGTGAATGGAGTGCGCAGTTGCCGCTGCTGTGAAGAATGTCTGCCTATCTGCACTGCAGTCCCCAGCGCTGGCTTCTGTGGGTGACAGGAGTTTTGCTGTTCTGGTTCCTGAGGCTTGGTTCTCACAATGTGCTAGGGAAGCCTCCAGGTGACGTTAAGTGCCTGTAGCCACACAGAGCACCTGGTTTCACACCCTGGCTTTGCCCCTCCATCCCTTCGTGACCTTGGCAGAGCTGTTTCACAACTGGAAACATCAGCTTCTTCAACCCAAATCTGGGGACCATTTTCTATGGGGCTGTGGAGAGGGCACGTGAGACACGGGATGGAAGGTCTGGCCTCCCGTCAGCCTTTGGTAAACACCGGCTATGTGTGGCATACGGGGACCCGGCAGTGATGCAGAGCTGCACACAGAGACTGTGCGGCGTCCCGGCAGGGACACCGAGCTGCATGTGGGACATGCTCAGCCGGTCGCCTCCATGCAGGACCACTCCCACTGTGGCTGCTTGGGCTGCTACTACGGGGAAAAGATAGATAGGGATGAGGAGACAGGACTCCTCCCTCTCCACTCTGCCATCAAGGGAATGACATCAGGACCAAAGAGGACAGAGCGGACAGGGTGAAAGTAAGGGCATGTCTCGGCTGTCTGTGCAGGGCTGGGGCCTCAGAGCCCAGGGTGAGCACAAGGCTCCAGGAGGCCCTGCCTGCAGGGTAGGAGTGGGGCAGAGGCTTGGGGCCAGCCTGCAGTTCACAGGATGTGCCTGACCACTGGGTTTCCTCTAGGATGTGGCCCTTGCCTTGTGCCCCTGTAGGTCCTGCTGCTCAGAATACCCTCATCCCCACCCTGGCCTGGCTAACTCCCTCACCTCCTCCAGATCTCAACTCTGGCTTTCTTGAAGGAGCCTCCTCTGGCACTGGCCACTATTATAGGCTCCTGAGCCCATCCTGGGACCACCTTACAGTGAATAGTGGGCACCGCTGGGCTCCCCGAGGGCGGACCACGAGGCAGGGACCCCCAGCCCCTGGCAGAAGGCTTGGCCCCAGCCCATATTGTCCATCCTAAAGGATTTGTCTGGTCTCTGTCCCAGATTCTTAGGAGAGAGTTTGTAAAACTTCTGGAATTTCTGTCTTTGTTACCGTGAGGCCTTCGATCACACTTGAGTTTGTGCTAAGTGATGGCTCAGGATAGGCCCCAGCACCAGAAAGACCAAGCATGTGACTAGAGGGCTGGGGCTCTGAGCTGGGCGATACCGGCCTGACCTCCAGCGTGGGGGAGGGGAAAGGGGTGCTGGGGATGGAGTTCCATCACATGGCTGAAGAGTCAATCGGTCATGCATTCGTAATGAGCCCAGTAAAAATGCCAGACACCAAAGCTATATGGAGCCTCCCGGCAGGTGCGCAGGTCACATGCAGGGAGGACAAGGCACCTGATCCCACCAGGTGCAGACATGTGAGCTCTGTGCTTGGGACCCTTCCTGTGTGGCTCTTCATTTGGCATGCCCTGGGTTGCAACCTTTATAAACAAACTGTCATCAGAAGCGTGGGTTCCAGGAGTCATTCTAGTGAGTCATGCACCCTGAAGGGGTGGCGGGAACCTCTGAATTTGTAGCCAGTTGGTCAGAAGTGCAGGGGCCTGGGGACCCCCAAAGGGTGACTGGCATTTGAGGTGAGGGCGGTCTCGTTGGAGACTATGGCCTTAAATGTGCGGGGGCTGTGCTAACTCTGGGTGACTGGTGTCAGAACAGAACTGCAGGATACCAGGTGGCATCAGACCAACATGGAAAAAAAAAATCCAGGATGAGTTGAATGCACAACTCCATCCAGGCCCTTATGACGCTGCACAGATGAACCACCCTTAAACTGGGGAGGGCAGGGGATCCGAAGTCCCTCAGTATCGAGGTACCTGGACCAGCACCAGACACTGGCCAGGGGCTCAATAAAGGTTTGCAGAATGAACACACTTGGAGCACAGAGGACCCCAGGGCTGCGCCAGGGGAACTGCTAGAGAAGCCAGGCCCAGGCAGCCTCGGGGAGACCTGGGGAGAAATTACTGAGGGCTGTCACATCCCCATGAGGCTGGCCTGTTTCTGTAGAACTAGGACAGTGGTGGGAAGCCACTGAGAACCAGACTCTGCCGGCAGAGGGCAGGGCCACCGAAGGTGAGGTAGGCTTCTGCACGCATGGCCGGGATGACGGGGAGGGACACTGCCCAGGCCTGAGCCCCTGGTGTTCTGTGAGGCTCTGGCTCCAAACTCAAGCAGCCACACCAGCCTTTCCCACCAACATCAATCCTAGAGAGGCAAGAGAGTCCTGTTTACGCACTGGGCACCCGGCTCTTGCATTTGAGTAAACAGAACAGCTGTGCAGGAATAATCAACTGTTCTGCTCCACACCTCCGCCTGGCTGGGCTGCCTCAGAAACAAGAACCTTCAAACATTTTCTAAATGGAGAAAAGAATTCCTAGATGGGGAGTCCAGGGCCAAGGATAAGCCACCCAGGGCTGGAGGTGATTCCGGAAGGGCCGCCCCTGCTCAGGTGGAAACCCATGGCACTTGGCTGCCCTCAGCAGCCCTCACCAGGGAAGGCACCTCTGAGGACCTGCGCTGGATATGAGGATGCAGGAGTGGCACGCCTGCCCTCGGGGAGCCCACTGCACACAACGCCCATGCAGCACGGGGCAGGTCTGGAAGAGCTGCTGTTGAGCGAGGGTTTGGCCCCTGAGTAACCAAGATCATGGGGCAGTCTGAAGGCAGGGACAAAGGCCACCTCTTGGCTGAAGGTGCTGCCACTGCCAGGTCACAGGACCCCTCTTGGTGGGCAGGCAAAAACCCAGGCTCCCAGGCCGACCCTGCAGCGACTCAGGAGGCCCCCCGCAGCCTGGGAATCTATATTTCACAGCTCCCCAGGGGCCCTGATCATTGGTGCGGGTCCAAGAGGGACCCTTCTGGGCGACCGATGTGACTCAGGGAGCACCTTTCTCTGGGGCAGGAGCATCTAGCAGATCTAAAGGCTCACACAGGACCACCTCATTCCAAATGGCCTCGGAGCAAGAGAGGATACTGGCCGGCAAGCTCTCACGTCTGTGGGTACCCTGTGAAGGCCGGCACTGAGGGCGGGTGGGTGCAGTGGCTGCCGCAGGAAGCTCGGTTGCAGGGGCCTGCCTGGGACACGGGAGGCTTAGGGAAGGCTCAGCAGCACCCAGGACTGACAGGAGACCAGGGAGCAAAGGTCAGAAAGACACGAGGCTTGATCCAGATGGCAGGAGCTGCCCACGAACCCAGGAGCCAGAAGGCAGATACGTGCAGATGGGGGTTAAGTGGGGTTCGGGGTTGACAGCCCCAGGGCACGAGGGCACGGATCAGATGATGAAGACAGAGGAAATCCATCTGTGTGACCTGGAGGACCTGTGACTCGTCCCAGGAAGCCACCATGGCCCTGCTGGAGGTGCCACCCCTGGGTTGCTGCACAGTTGGCTTCCTCTAGTCACTTGCCACTGTGAAGCTTCCACACACGGCAACCACCTGTCACACATGGCTATCCTCTGTCTTGTTTACTGTCTACCCCCGACCCATGGGGGCACTGAGTTTGTCTGTTTTGGTCACTGTGGGGCACACGGTAGGTGCTGAGTGAGGTGCTGGGTGAGAGAAGGGTTACAACTGGCCCCAGGGAGCGCAGAGGGAGCGCTGGGCGAGTTGGGAGTGGATGGAGCTGTCCAGGGATGGGAACACAGCAAGTCAGGCAGGAGAGACGACAGGGGAGGCCTGGGAGCTGATGCAACCTGGGGGCACCCTGGGTGGGGAGTTGGCCCTGAACCACCCATGTAAGGCCTGGGAGGGTCACCACCTGACCAGGGTATCTGATGGGAGCGCCCGAGGAGGAGTGGCTGTGCTCATAGTCCCTTGGAGAGTGACTGTGAGGCTGGGCGGGGCTCAGCACAGACCTGTGTCTAGGGCAGGAATGGATGCGGTGATGATCAGATCCTTAATGGTTTTACCTTAATGGTTTTTGACTGGAGCCTCAAGCCGTTCAGCGTGTTGATTGCTCTCTCTGCATCCTTTGCAGTCACGTAGTTCACAAAGCCATAGCCCAAGCTGTGTCCTGTGCGGGAGAACACAAGGACATTGGTAAGCCGACCGTCTGCGAGTGAGGGACAGGGAGGTCGGGAAGTACTTTATCTGCCAGGCCTTTGGGAAATGCGATTACAGGTGCTAGCAAACTTTCTTACTTTGGCAAACACGTACATTTTCTGCAATGGACACAGGTTACTTTTTTTTTTTTTTTTTTTTTTGGAGATAGGATCTTGCTCTGTCACCCAGGGTAGAGTCCAGCGCTGTGATCACAGCTCACTGCCACCTCAGATCCTTGGGCTAGAGCCTCCCACCTCAGCCTCCAGAGTATCTGGGACTACAGGCCCACTCCGACAGGCCCAAGCTAATTGTTAAAATTATTTGTAGAGATGGGGTCTCACTATGTTGCCCAAACTGTTCTAAAACTTTTGGGCTCAAGCAATCCTCCCACCTCGGCCTCCCAAAGTGTTGGGATTACAGATGTGGGTCACTACGCCTGGCCAAGAGGTTTTATTTTTGTAATTAAAATAACCCCAAAAGTTATTTAAAATGGAATATTTTTTAAAAATACTGTGCTACGGACAGCATCTTTCTGAATGACCAGTCCCGTGGGTGCCAGCCACTCTGTGGACCTGGGTGGTGAGGAAAAGGAAGACTATGGCAGTGGACAGGCTGGTGGACCCCAGTTTGTGTCACTGCTGTTTCTCTACCACTTCCTTGTCCAGAGCAGGAGGGTCTGCTGGCACCACCCAGCACCAGTTCCATTTACCTTCCCAAGCCTGAGACCAGCCCGACCCTGCTGTGGGGCAGAAGAGGACGGAGAGCCCAAGGAGAGGCCAGGGGCTGAGAATGCCCAGCCCCACCGGACAGTGGGGGAGAACCAAGGTCACGGGCAGATGTCCCTGCACCCCCTTTGTGAAACACTCAGCCAGGTACAAGTGAACACCCACTCACTGGACACCACGAGAGGGACTCGGGATGGCAAGGGCAGGACCAGAGGAGACAGCCTCTGAGGTCAGGGTTCAGAAGGAGCTTCATAGGACATTTGGCTAAACGCTCTCACTAAAGGGGAAGTGAGGAGGCCCAGGGAAGAGCACAATCCCCGCCTCCCCCCAGCATATCCATGCACTTGCAAGGCTGCTGAGCACCTGCTTTGGGCCGGAGCCTCACCCAGCACTGCTCCATTCCCCCAGCCAGCAGAGCACCACAATGAGCAGGTCACCGAAGAGGAGGCCTGGAGCCCCACTGCAGCAGAGATCCTCTTTGCAGCTGGGCCAGGGGCATCCAGACCCATCTCACCGACAGCAAGATTACAAATCCAGCAGAGAGCCTAACCCAGATTTGCCACTTTCTTTTTAAAATGAATTTTATTTTTCAGAACAGTTTTAGGTTTACAGAAAACTTACAAGGATAATAGCAAGTTCCCATACGGCTCCCTCCCAGTTTCCCTATCGGTACCACCGCGTGTGAGTATGGAATGCTGGTGATGATGAACATTCACATTAACTCTGGTCCATGCCCCATCCGCTTCCTTAGTCTTTCCCTCATGTTTTTTCCTGCCCCAGGACCTCATCCAGGATCCCATGTGACACTTAGTAGTCACATTCCCTCAGGCTCCTCTCGACTACGACAGTTTCTTGTTTCTCGTGACCTTGACGGTTTTGAGGACTGGTCGGATATTCCGTAGACTCTCCATTGGGTTTGATGGAGTCTCTGTCATGCCTGGAGTGGGGCTGAGGGTGTTGGTGCAGAAGAGCACAGCTGGAGTGCCCTTCTCATCACACTATGTCAAGGGCACAGGCCGTCAACGTGACTTATGGCTGCTGGTGCTGACCCTGATCACTCGGCCAAGGCAGTCAGTTTGCCAGGTTTCTTCGCTGTAAAGTGACTCCCACCCCTTTCCACACTGCCCTCCGCGGAAGGAAGTCAGGACGCCCAGCTCACACTTAAGGAATGGCCCTGACGTAGCAGCTACAGAAATGACATGCAGTTAGTTCTGCATGGGGCACTCTCTTTCCTGACGAACAAAACCAAAATCAGATCCTCTAGACCCGTATTTCTAATAAAACTCCATGGGGCTAAGAGACTCAGCTCTGGGGCCCTGGACAAAGGGAGAACCCAGAGCACCAAGACTGCAGGACCAGGCCCACGTGGAGCAAACTGGGATCGTAGCTCAGAGAACAAGCAGCGGAGCAGCGCGGCCAGGTCGGGACTGCCAGGGCCTCTGCAAGCGCTCCAGATGGTGGTGTGAAACTGGCAGGTGTCCCTGCACCCACTCTGTGACACACTCAGCACAGGTACAAGCGAACACCCACTCACTGGACACCACGAGAGGGACTCGGGATGGCAAGGGCAAGACCAGAGGGGACAGCCTCTGGGGTCAGGGATTCCTGTGATATGGATTCTTGACCACAACGTCAACCTGGCTGGGTTTTTTTCACTCCTGAACACCTGCTCTCCAATTGCTCAGCGCCATCTACATTCGGGCCCCATCCTTCTGCTCCATCCACAAGCCTGGACCACTTGCCTCCTTGGCTGCAGCGCCTCAGGCAGCCTAAGCACTGCTTGAGAAAGTCACACACTGGTAAGGACTCGAGCACCAATCCCTGTTCCTGTGTCCTCAGCCACAGCCAGCTCCTCTCAACACATAAACATGGTCCCTGCCTGGCCCAAGTCTCTGCTTCATCTCCCAGGTGCTGGGTGGTCCTGGCTGGTCCCCTAGGATGGTCACTGCCCCAGGGACCGTTTCAGGATGTGTCCCCTGAGCTTTCGGCAGCTTAGGGTAGGGCCTACCCCTTTGGGACACCCCTCCTCTGGGATGTGGAAACCACATCAGGTTTCCATCTCCCTGACTGTCCCTCCTCAGGCTCCTCATCCCCTGTCCATTCCAAGAAGACTCACGGGCCCTGAGTACCACCCACATTTGGCCCTTGTCTCTGCCATATGCTCTTCCTCACCACATGTGCCCACACCTGCCAACACCGAGGGAGTCGCACACCCTTGGGCGGCCCCTGTCGCCTCCCATGGTCAAGCTCCTTCTCTGTCCTCAAGGAGCTGATGCATTAACTGAGCACCTACTATGTGTCAGGCCCTGTGCTTGGCTGGGGGTTGGTGATGCATGACAGAGGACGGTCGCTACCATCATGAAAGCTGTCACATCCCTGGGGGCAAGTCAGACAACATGGTGGCGAGAAACTGACAAGCATTAAGACAGGGGTCAGGAGGGCCCGTGGCGGAGGAGATATTTTAAACAAAACCTCTGCGTGGCTGGCGTGAGCATTCCAGACAGAAGAGCAGGTGCCAAGTCTCTGAGGCAGAGACAATGCCTGTGTATTCCCAGAAAGTAGAGGTGGCCCGGGTGGCAAGGGCCTGGGAAGTGGCCACTGGCAGCAGGGCAGAGCCAGTGTGGAGCCAGTGGGCTGCTGATCTAATCCAGATGGGAGATGCAGGCTACGTGCACAGGCCAGGGTGGTAGATGAATACCCCACCCAGAGGACTACACGTGGGGTAGTGGGGTAAGGGCCCTGTCCTCCCTATGGGCTGGGCCTTGTGAGTCAAGGCCTGGCTTCATCCCCAGAGTCTGCTCTCCTCTCTGTGGTGGGTGCCTGGAGGCAGTGGGAAGGGAGGAAGGTGAGGGATGAAGGTGTCCTGGTTTCCACCCGCTGGGTGAGGCCGTCAATCAGAAGGGCTTCATCCAGCACCTGACCGCCCACCTCCACCTTTGCCTCCAATACAAACCAACCTGGGCAGCTTTCTAAGCCACCACTGACTGCCCAGGCCACACCCCCAACCAATGAAGTCAGAAAAGGAGGAGGTGGGGGGGTTACCAGCTGGCTTCAGTGGTTTCAAGACAAGGTCTCAGTCTGTTGCCAAGACTGGAGTGCAGTGACAGGATCTCAGCTCACTGCAACCTCTGCCTCCTAGGCTCAGGTGATGCTCCCACCTCAGCCTCCCAAGGAGCTGGGACTAGAGGGGCGCACCACCATGCCTGGCTAATTTTTTTATTTTTTGTAGAGATGGGGTTTTGTCACATTGCCCAAGTTGGTTTCGAACTCCTGAGCTCAAGTGATCCTCCCACCTCGGGCTCCCAAAATGCTGGGATTACAGGCGTGGGCCACCGCACCCGGCCTCCTCAGTAGTTTTTAAAGCTCCCTAGTGATTCCAGTGCATGAGGGACAGAGGGCTTCCCATGGTTATGCAGAGGAGAGGAGGCCTCTAGAGAAGAAGTGGAAATGGGCCCCCAAGTTACTGTTTCTCCAGGCAGGGTCCACAAGCCACCTGCACCAGGGGCATCTGGACTTCAAGGCAACAACTTGGCTCCCTAGATGCCCCTACACCCCAGCCTGGGACCTAGGATGTCAGGCAGGCGTGGGAATCCGCATCTCCAAACTCCTTACAGATGTTCTTCCTGCCCGCCAGTGGCAGAGCCTGCCAGAGCCCCTGCCTGGAGATAGGAGATCAGCCCCAAGACAGGAGGCCTGAGGGCTTGTGAAGGAGCAGGAGGACAGGGAGGCAAGCTCAGAGGGGCCTGGCTCCTGCACAGGCCGCAGTGGGTCTGCCTGATGTAGGTGCTTGGGGGGCAAACGGGGCCCCTGGGATGGGAGATGGGATGGAGAGCGTGCAGGTGGGAGATACGGGGAAGCAGGAAGGAGGAGACCGGCAGGGAGGAATGCAGGACACAGAACCCAGGAGTAAGATGCAGGGCTGTCCCAGAGGCCAGTGCATGCCCGGCTCTCACTTCCCTCAACTGGAGGAAGAGCCTCCGCACCCTTTCTGGCCACAGGGCAGGGGTTCTGGGCTCTGGTTCTCTGCCTGCCTGGCATCAGCATCCCCCTCCATGAAGGTTAAAGCACAGATGGTCAACCACCCCGAGTGGCTGACTCAGGGGTCTGGATGGGGTCTGAGACTCGCATTTCCCCAGGTATCCCGATGCTGCTGCTGGCCCAGGGACTGCACCCTGAGAGCTGCTGCCTGGAGAAGACAAAGCTGCCTCTGCGGGGAGCACCACGGACGCCTTACAGGGCACCCATA